CACTAGAATAAGTGACTGCATACGACAGATGACATCATACTCCAAAACTAAAATACTTTGTAATGACTAATAAGAAGTTTAAATCAAAATCTACAATGAATCCATAGTTTTGGCAGTAAAAATCCATTGCCTTTTAGTTTGGAAACCTCTCTTTTTATACGTAATAGCATTTAATTCAGTGGATGCCCTAAAGCTGTACGTGGATTCACTAAACAATACAATTCTCAGGGACACACCAGCTACACCTTACTGTGGCATCACATAAATTGCACGTGTGATAATTCAGTTTGCTTTTACATTATTTATTATGTTACATACAGCAGCAGCATGCCAATATGATTTATTTCCAGTGATAATGGGTAAATTTTTCAGACAACAATGGTATTATGTAACAGTGGTTAGTCCATAATTGAGTGCTGGAAGAAGCAGGGGCAATATAGCAAAAATCTATTGCAAAGTATGTATATTTAAAAAGAAAAAAAACACTTCCAATTTCACACACATTACCAAATAGTGTCAAAATTGCCTATATACAGTATAACATAGTCACACAGCATAGCTCGTTATCTTCCTTTAGTGCCACACTGTATTGTGTACAAAGTTTATTAAAATGCCAACCCAGAGTGCACCAAAACACCTAAAAACCATAAACCCACATTTCAGAGATGAGGCAGCTGCCAAGGCAAACATAAAAATGACAGTGCCATGTTTCTTAACAACAGCCAAACATATGGCACAGTGGCTGGAGGACTTGGCATGAAACAAGACTAGAGTGAAATTTTCTAGAGTTCGGGAGGTTTGAAGCCTTTTTGGTGGTCTGTTATTTCACAGGACAGGCATAATTCATCCCCTAAAAAAAAAAAAAAGGTTGTCCAGTTCCTAGGATTGAAGACTGAAAATTGTACAGATGTGGAGCACAGTTTTTAAGCCTTCCTTGGATTTCTGAAGAAGAGAGCAAACACATTGAAACTGGAAAAAAAAAATCATGCATTTTTAAAAGACTGAAGATGGAAAAATGTTACAAGTTTGTACTACACATATTAAGGTCATATACATACGTAGACTTCAGTTTCAGAGGAATTGAATGGGTGTATTGTATCTGGAAATAAAAATTAGTTTTTTGATTTAGAGACTGAAGAGTAAATATTTTCTAGTTTTGCACTACAGTTATTAAGTCTTTTTAGACAGACAATTTATTTTAGATGCAGAAGGCATCTCTGGAAAGAGAAAGGAAGAAAAATAGTGTCTGTTTCAAATTTTAAAAAAATGCACAGATCTACAGCACACCTTTTATGTTTTTCTTGGATAAGCCACAATTTCTGAGCAATGTACTGTATATGGAAATAAAGATATAGGGTTAGTTTTACTGGAGCACTCAGAATCTGGTGCAGCTGTGCATGGTAGCCAAACATCTTCTAAATTCAGCTTGTTCAATTAAGTTTTGACAATAAAACCTGGAAGCTGATTGGTTTCTACATGGAGCTGCACCGTATTTTTCAAGCTCCAGTTTTACTAAATCTCCCCTATAGTGTGATGAATCAGAGACTGGAGAGTGAAAAAGTTTAGCACCACTGGTATTAAGCATTATTTGGACAGGCCACAATTTCTTACAAATTAAACAGCCATATTATATCTGAAAAGCAAGAAAAAAACAGATTTGCACCAACCCCTTTTTTTTTTGGATATGCTGCAATTTCTTGGGGAAATAGCCATCACATTGCATGTATAATTCAAAAATTTGTATCTATTCTCGGACACTAAATATGGAAAAAGGTTTTGGATTTGCATCACAGATATTAAGCTGTATGACCAGGCAGAAGTTTCTGAGCCACTGAGAAGGCATATTGCATCTAGAAATTAAAAAAATAGTGTCTTCTGTGTTAAATTGAAAATAAAAAACATGAATTAATCTACACCATACTTTTAAAGCCTTTATTATATAGGTCACAAATTTTGAGAGAGAGAGAGAAACACATTGCATGTACAATTAAAAAAATTAGTGTCTTGTTTTGTACACTATAGATCAAAAAATGTTAAAGATTTGCACCACAGATATCAAGCCTGTATGGGCAGACTGCAATTTTAATTTCTGAACATGCGTGTGGCATTGGGAACTAAAGGAGTGGTAATCTTGTGTACAATTGAAAACATAGACACTGAACAGAATTACGCCATACTTTTCAAGTCTTCATTGGAATAGGACACACTTTCTGAGGGAGAGAATAAGCAGGTTGGCTTCTCATTTCACAGATTGAGTAATAAAAAATTTGACAGACTTGCCATTAAGCTTGTAAACCTATTTGAGCAGGCCACTGTTTTGAGGGAGGGAACAAGTAGATTACAGCTAAAAAAAAATAATCAATTATTTTCTTTTATTTACAAGAATAAATCAAGGCAGTAAATGTTAACTTGCTGGTATACGTTGCAGGGAGGAGCTTGGTTGTCTGACATCATCACACATGAGTCCTATGTGCTGTATGATTGATTCTTATTCTGAGTACCCATTGTATAACCTGTTTTGATAAAACTTTAATGCCAGTTTACAGTATGTGCTCTGTCCTCTCTTTCTTTATGGTGCATACACTATCACACTGAGGAATTGTTACCTTCATTCATGTGATGGTCCTGGACCAAGTGTTAATAAATATCCTGTGCAGCTGCTACATTGGATCTATATGATAACCCTGATGCATGTTTGACATTTATTAATGAGGTCTTAAAGTGTTACTAAAACCCAGGACCCTGCATTCACTATATCTGGTCTCCCACAGTACACATATCATAGAAATGCAATTATTTTAGTTAATATAAACTGCTAAATACCTTTTCTTATCAGCAGTCAGAGCAGTCTTGTGACTTCAGTTGAGCACTGGTTAAAGCTTGTAGGAGGAGTTTTCTTTCTGCTCTAGAAGGATGCAAAACTTCTGACCCTCTGTCTGGACAGTACTGATTGGCCCTGTGCTGATAACATGCTCTCCGAAGGAAAAAAAAAAAACTCTCTAGCAATAGACACTAAACTGAGCATGTGCAGAAGGGCTACAAGTTCAGTCTGATTTATCAGTGTGGACATTTGAACAAGAGGAAGGGCATAGAAGTCAGAATAAAACAGCCTTTTGTACATGATGTAGAGGATTAACCCCTTAGGTGCCACAGTGAGTTTAGCAAGCATGCTTAGCTGCATATACAGACTGATTTTACTGTTGTGGGTTTAGAAAATCTTTAAACTTCTGGTAAGAAGTACTTATTTTGTGTGGTGGTAGAAGCACAGAAGTGGGCACATTGAGCCTCTTCTCACTTAGCACCTAACTATTCTGTTTTGGGCTTATTATTATTATTATTATTATTATTATTATAATACAGGATTTATATAGCACCAACAGTTTGCTCAGCTCTTACAATATAAAGGGAGACAATACAGCAACAATACAGTTCAATACAAGAGGGATTTGAGGGCCCTGCCCCTTGGAGCTTACAATCTAGGAGGGAGGGGCTAGTGGTACAAAAGTTAGTAACTGTGGGGGGTGAACTGGTTGGAAGAGTAGAAGATTCCAGTATTAGCTGAGGGCAGGATAGGCTTCCCTGAAGAGATAGGTTTTCAGAGATCACCTAAAAGTGAGCAGAGTAGGCGATAGTCTGATAAATTGGGGTAGAGAGTTCCAGAGGATGGTGGAACCTCTGGAGAAGTCCTGGAGATGAGCATGGTAGGAGGAGACAAGAGAGCTAAGAGGAGGTCTTACAAGGTGCGGAGAGTACGGTTTGGTTGATATTTGGAGACAAGATCAGTGATGTAATTTGGGGCAGAGTTATAAGTGGCTTTATACATTATTGTTAGTGATTTTAATTGTATCCGTTGGGCAACGGGAAGCCAGTGGAGGGATTGGCAGAGAGGGATGGCAGATACAGAACTGTTAGTAAGGTGGATGAGTCTGGCAGCAGCATTCATGATAGACTGAAGAGGGGATAGCCTGCGATGAGGTAGGCCAATGGGGAGGGAGTTACAATAGTCAAGGCGAGATATAACAAGGGAGTGAATAAGTTGCTTAGTAGTTTCAGAGGTTAAGAACGGGCGTATCTTGGAGATGTTGCGGAGGTGAAGTCTACAAGATTTGGACAGTGATTGGATTTGGGGCTGAAAGGACAGATGGGAGTCTAGGATTACACCTAGTACCCTGGCACGAGGGGAGGGACTGATGATTGTGTTATTGATCTTGATGGAGAAGTCAGGGTAGGGGGCACGGGCTGGGGGGAATACTAAGAGCTCAGTTTTGGAAAGATTGAGTTTGAGGAAGTGGAGTAACATCCATGCCGATATGTCACATAGTAGGTTAGTAATGCGAGAGGAGACTGAAGGGGTGAGGTGAGGGGTAGAAAGATAGATTTCTTCTCCTTTTTTGTATTGTGCACCATTATTCACACGGAATGATTGTATATTGCTTTCAGCCAGTGTACAATTTATATGTATGATTGTTTTATATATTGTACAATATTTATTTTCATTATGGCACTGTTAGCACTACATTTGTTCACAGGGAAAGTGCAACGCTATTTATAGGCATCTTTCTTATGCAAACACTATTTAGATTATGCAACAGGGAAATGAGAAACTAGGGGTTTGTAGTTGATTAATATGTGCATTTTGTAATGTAATTTTATTAGGCGGTATGAACCAAAGAGCAATTTAGGTGGATATACATATTTAATACAGTATTTGTCTGTTCATGTCACCAAAACTAATGCACACAACACAGTTTATTTAAAAGTATGGACTATTTGGCCTGGTTTATTTGGTCAGAGTCTCCATGGAAATCGATTGGCCTGATGAGAGTAAAGGTGATGCTTGAGAAGCTAAATCTATGGTTGGAGAGGCATATACCGGTACATACACCCAAAAGTAGTGCCCAAGCCTGGGATGTAATAGATGCTGGTTGGAGTCAGTAAGGTAACGTTATTTGTAACACATGCATTTCTTTTATGTGCACAAAGTGGGTTTACAGGATGTGTGGTTAATTTACTATCTTGATAAAAATATTTTATATGATTTTATGCTTTGTACCACTCTGTATTTTTTTCTGAGATACACTATATTGCCAATAGTATTGGGTCACACCTCCAAATCATTGGATTCAGGTGTTCCAATCACCTCCATGGCCACAGGTGTATAAAATCAAGCACTAAGGCATGCAGACTGCTTCTACAAACATTTGTGAAAGAATGGGTCAATCTCAGGAGCTCAGTGAATTCAAGCGTGGTACTGTGATAGGTTGCCAACTGTGCAATAAGTCCATCCATGAAATTTCCTTGCTACTAAATATTCCATGGTCAAATGTTAGTGGTATTATAACAAAGTGGAAGCAACTGGGTACAACAGCAACTCAGCCACGAAGTGGTAGGCCACATAAAATGACAGAGCGGGGTCAGCACATGCTGAAGCGCACAGTGCACAAAAGTCACCAACTGTCTGCAGAGCCAATAGCTAAAGATCTCCAAACTTCATGTGGCCTTAGAGAGCTTTATGGAATGGGTTTCCATGGCCAAGAAGCTGCATCCAAGCCTTACATCACCAAGTGCAATGCAAAGCATCGGATGCAGTAGTGTAAAGCACACCACCACTGGACTCTAGAGCAGTGGAGGCATGCTTTCTGGAGTAATGAATTACATCCAATGGATGTGTCTGAGTTTGGCTGTTGCCAGGAGAATGGTACTTGCCTGACTGCATTGCGCCAAGTGTAAAGTTTGGTGCAGGGGGGATTATGGTGTGGGTTAGTTTTTCAGGGGTTGGGCTTGGCCTGTTAGGTCCAGTGAAGGGAACTCTTAAGGCTTCAGCATACCAAGACATTTTGGACAATTTCATGCTCCCAACTTTGTAGGAACAGTTTGGGGATGGCCCCTTCCTGTTCCAACATGACTGCACCAGTGCACAGAGCAAGGTCCATAAAGACATGGATGAGCGAGTTTGGGGTGGAAGAACTTGACTGGCCTGCACAGAGTCCTGACCTCAACTCGACAGAACACCTGAATGTGAGCCAGGCCTTCTTGTCTGACATCAGTGCCTGACCTCACAAATGCGCTTCAGGACGAATGGTCAAACATTCCCATAGACACAATCCTAAACCTTGTATGCTGCCTTCCCAGTAGAGTTGAAGCTGTTATAGCTGCAAAGGGTGGGCCAACTCAATATTGAACCCTACGGACTAAGACTGGGATGCGTGTAAAGTCAGGCGTCTGAATACTTTTGGAAATATATTGTACATGGGTTGTAGGTATCATATCTGCATTTTCTTGAAGGATGATTTATTGATGGTGATATAAACAGGTTTGACCATACTAGTTTTGAGTCATATCAAAAAGTTATCTTCAGTCCTTCAGAGTTTGAAAGATACATAGAGAATATCTTTTTCAACTTGTTGGGAATTTGTTTAATAGTGTATCTGAATAACACTTATGTGTTGACTGCTTCACAGACTGGTTGGTTTGAGGGATGACCAAAAATCACTTTACATTTTTTGTATACTTTTTTTGACCTGTGAAATACAGAAGAGTGCAATTTCATTTTTGTGTGTGTTTTGATCTATGAATATTTATAGTGCTACAGCACATGAAGTACTGTACTCATTTTAGGTACTGCCCAGGGGCGGACTGACAACTCATGGGGCCCCCGGGCAATAGGGGATCATGGGGCCCCTGTGTCCTTGCCTAACCTCAAAAATGCATATGAAAAAGGTACCAGGGGCATCTCATGGGGCCCCCTACTGACCCTGGGCTCTCAGGCAGTGCCCGAGTTTCCAAATGGTCAGTCCACCCCTGGTACTGCCTGCAATTTAGAAGTATATGCACTTACAATTATAATATTTTTGGGGGTGATACAAGTGCAGAAGGTTATTTATCTTTGGTATTAATATCATTATTGATGTAGCTGGGAATGAAGAACTCACTGATGAGATACTGTAGGATTTTGTTTGACCATAACTTGCAGTCTGCTGGATTTACATAAATTTTTGCAGTATATAAAGTACTTTTTATTCTTGCATGCACTCAAGTGTCTTGTGAAAGAGTTTTTTTCTCTGTTAAAAAAAAAAAAAAAAAAAAAAAGATTAAAGTCTTCTATTAGACAGGATCGTTTGGAATCCCTAATTTTACTAAACCCGGTGAGAGGGATATTGTAAGGATCTTTCCTGATGAAGTCAGATCCATCCCTGTTGCATCCCACTCTGGTCGCTAGCCATACTGATACATTTCCACTTACTTAAGTGTGCATGCCTGTTAGTGTCCTGTTGCTCAGGGCAATATGGCTGCACCTTGAGATCATCTGTATCGGTCCTCATTCACCACTCTTGTGTACAAAAGGTTTGGCCGCAGCTTAGACTCTGAGCATCAGGTAGAAAGGGAATGCTCTTTACTTACTCCTCCCCATGTTTTTGTTGGTCCATCTTCTATCAGTGTCTGATTTAAACAACAAGGGCTCAGTGCACCATACTAGCTGCTATTACCTGCCTTTGTACCGAACATTGCCTGTATTTTGACTACCTCTTCTGCCTGCCACCTGGACTTCCCCATTGTCTGTTTACTGACCATATCTCTGCATGCTACCTGGGCCAATCTATTGCCACTTTAGGGATCACATCTCTGCTTACTGCCTGGACTCACCTCTCTGTACGTTTCTCTGGTTAACATCCAGCCAAGGCACACTGCTGTCAATCTGTGCAGACATTTGTATCTCCCCTGAACTACAGATACTCTTTCTTATACTTTTGCTCCTCCTCTTGTGCTAACTGGTCAGAGAATATAGAATTGTGTAATAATAATATGTCCTGGAGTAACCAAGTATGAGCAGGCCTGTTTGCCTTACGGGAATGGGGGCTGCTAAAAATATGGCAACTCTTCACCTTTTCACAGATTATAATGGCGGTGAGACACAGTGCTGCACGGAGGAAGCTGCATGGAGGAAGCTGCATAGAGGAAAGCAGAACATCCTATAGCGCATTACCTTCACACAACATACTTTATTAAAAGCACTTACAAAAACAAAGCATAAAAATACAAGATTGCACTCCGCTCTGACCTGTGGCCATGCAGTCAGTGGCAAGTGCTGCATTGAGAAAAGCTGAACATTCTATAGTGCATTACTTTCACACAACATACATTATTAAAAGACAAGTATTTACAAAATGAAATTTAAAAAAAGAATAAAGTCACATGATTGCAAGCTGCTATGACCAGCAACCATGCGTGAAGAAATCACTGCCAAAGGCTTTATTCATTCTTATGTTAACTTTTTATTTTTACTGTAATATTTGTGATTTTATCACTGAGTAACAATACAGTAAAGCAATGTTTTTATAGGTCTTGGTGTATTTGGTTGTGGTTGAGACTTTAAGGGGTTTATTTATTAAAGATGGAGAGTGCAAAATCAGGCTCACTTCTACACAGAAACCAATTAGCTTCCAGGTTTTATTGCCAAAGTTTATTTGAACAGGCTAAGGTTAGAAGCTGATTGGTTTCTATACAGAAGTTAGCCTGATTTTGCACTCTCCAGCTTTATTAAATAAACCCTTATGTATTTTTGTATTGTATCCCGCCCCCTTGTTATCATTGCATTCTCAGTGGCAAGCATTGGGTTCTTTTTTGTCCTTTAATTATTTTCCATCTGTTTGGGATGCATATACAATTTTTCAGTTGTGGGTTGTATCATGTATGGCTGTTTTAGCTGTATTAGACCATAGATAATGACTTACCTTACCCAGGGTTCCATAGATTGCAAATTATGCATTGTTGTCCTGCAGGTTGACCATCCCACCACTAGATGGCTCCGCAGTTCTTATCAACCTTCTGGCTTGATAATGTTTCTCTATGGCTGATGATGCTATTTAAGTACATGGGGTTCTTCCGCACACTCGGGTGTGAAAATGCATCTAAGGGACCTCTTCAGTGGGTGGAGAGAAGAGCTGAAGCCATTTTACATTATCTGATTGCACAAAGGACACTGAGTTACTGTGACCGAAGTTCAATCAGGTGCCAAAGACCTATCACTGCTGTATTAATTTATTGAGTTGGACTATATGGACTCCACATATCTGCAGGCAGCCTGTAGTGAGATGACCTTTCCAGATCACACCCACAGCTCCCCTCTCTGCACAAGCTATGTGCAGCACAGTGATGATGTCTCCAGTACATTTACAAGGCAATATCTTGATCTGCAAAGGTATTTGGTGCACAAAGTGGTCCATATCCTTTGTGGCTAGCAAGGAATATATGTAAATGAAAGTTCATCTTTTCTCTAAGTCCTACAGTATATATTTCACTGCAGCCAGATCTCAGAGACCAACGATCTGTGCTAAGTAACTTCCCCTCTCTCATGCATCATCAATCACATATTCTAAGGCGTTTTAGAATCTGATTGGTAGTGGAGAGCTGCAGCCTGCATCACAAACAAGGGTTCTCAGATCACCAGACTACCAACAAAAGAGTCTAAGGTGGACTGGTGTGTTTATCTTTGGATAAAAAAAACTGAACTGCTTAAGAGACAGTATCTACAGTACATCTGAGGTTTGAAGCAGTAGTAAACCCAAATGCAAATATTTATTATATTGCAACTTACCATTTCTTAAATGTAATGGTTGTGTTAGTTTCCTTTTTTAAGCTTTAGGTGATTCAACCAGCTTTTGTTCAGAAGTTGTTCATGCTTTCCAGCAGAATTTCCAGCTTACATTATTATTATACAGTATTTATATAGCGCCAAAGGGTTTGCTCAGCACTGTACAATAGCAAGGGGGACAGAACATGAGACAAGACAGAAACAATACAATACACGAGGGGTTCGAGGGCCCTGCTCTTTCGAGCTTACAATCTAAGAGGGAGGGGAAAGTGGTACAGGAGGAAATGGCTATGGGGGATGGAGTGGTGGGAGGAGAGTGGAGGAGGTCAGTTGTTAGGTGAGGGTGGGGTAGGCTTCCCTGAAGAGGTGGGTTTTCAGGGTGCGCCTGAAGGTGAGGAGGGTAGGTGACAGTCTGATGGATTGGGGTAGGGAGTTCCAGAGGATGGGGGAAGTCCTGGAGAAATCCTGCAATCGGGCATGGGAGGAGGAGATCAGGGAGCTAGAGAGTAGGAGGTCATGGGAGGAGCGAAGGGCATGGGTAGGGTAGTATCAGGTTGGTTAGGTAGTTTGGGGCGGCGTTGTGAATGGCCTTGTAGGTCAGAGTTAGCAGTTTGAATTTGATGCACTGGGCAATCGGGAGCCAGTGAAGGGATTGGCAGAGGGGGGTGGCAGATGTAGAGCGGTTGGTGAGGTGGATGAGTCTAGCCGCTGAGCTCAGGATAGACTGGAGTGGGGATAGCGTTTGTTTGGGTAGGCCAGTGACAAGGGAATTGCTGTAGTCGAGGCGTGAGACGATGAGGGAGTGCACGAGTTGTTTAGTAGTGTCTGGGGTGAGGAACGTACATATCTTGGAGATGTTGCAGAGGTGGAACCTGCATGATCTTGATAGTAATTGGACGTGAGGTAGGAAGGAAAGGTTTGAGTCCAGGGTGACACCCAGGACTTTGGCATGTAGGATGGGAGTGATGGTGGCGTTGTTACTAGTGATGGAGGAGGGATGGGGGGGGGGGGGGGGGGGGGGGAAGAGCAGGAGCTCGGTTTTGGACAGGTTTAATTTGAGGAAATGGAGCGACATCCAGTCTGATATGTCATTAAAGAGGTAGGCGATGTGGGCGGAGAGAGAGTGGGTGAGATGGGGGGTGGAGAGGTAAATTTGTGTGTCGTCAGCATAGAGGTGGTAATTGAAGCCATGGGAGTGTATTAGTTTGCCAAGGGAGGAGGTG